TCTTGATTCGACATCAACCCTACGGCACTTACTTCTTCTCCTTGCGCTTCCTCCACTTTTCCTTGCTAAACTCCGTTTTCAACTTGAATCTGTCATGTCTCTCCTCCTGCCTCCTGATGATTTCAGCGCCGTCGATACCTTGAGCACGTAGAACGTGAATCTCCTCTGCGGTCAGGAGATTCGACTCGGCTTCTTGACCCGAAATGTCATCGATGAGCTCGTTGGTGGCATCAGTTTCCTCTAGATCAACATTGACTGTCAGCTTGTCACGTTATAATGATGCATAACCAAAGGGGACCAACCCAATTCTTCTATTCTTCCAGGTCGTCGGGGTATCAGGATATTTGCGGCAGCCTCCGCAGCCTCATTGCCTGTCATAGCCTTCACCTTCTCCTTCTTTCCCGCCTTCTTTCCTTTCTTGCCTGCAGGTATCTTGACATCCGAACCAGGACCTTCAGCTACCGGAGTGTCTTCGTCCAGCAGAATTGCAGCTTCAGCAGCGTCCGGGTTTGCAGACGATGTCGATGAGACAATTTCGTAGGCGATGTCGTAGTGTTTTCCTACTAGTTCACTGGTAGGAAAGGAACCATACTTGCCTAGTGATGTAACGCTGTGAAGTATGACATGAGCCTCACGATGAAACTGAGACCTAATGTCATATCACTTACCCTGAAGCTGTTACTAGGACACTCTTTATTACATCACTCGGCAGCCGCAGCATGACCGAATCTCCTTCCCTGATCACATTTACTCGCCTTATCATGCTTTCTCGAATCGACTGGACCGTTTCTGGAGCTTGAGCTGCTTGACGACGGGCTTTCGAATGAAGAGCTGTGTGGATCGAGGATTTCGGAGGATGGTGGGGCTGTCGCGTGTTGATCGTGGCTGCCATCTTGCTGCAATTTATTTGGCTGGCTTTACCTTCTCTGAGTAATATGAGTTGCCAACGGTCCTAGCTGCTACATGTATATTCTGTGCGACATCTTCACAACGAGCTTCATAACATGAATTCCTGACCGATATCCCGATCATATTCTCCATAAAATTGTGCCTGCGAGCCGGGCGAGAGTTGGGCCAGATCACGATTTCCCGACGGCGATAGCGTTGCGTCGTCCAGTCTGGAGCAGCTTCTTGTGATACTACCGATACACTGGCGCTCAACATCGACGCCCTCCGCCTGCGTCACCTCACACGATATATCCTCTTCGTATAAGGATACCTATTTTCTACCGGTAAAAGAATCCAGGCATCATGGCATCCATTACTAGGGTGCCAAGTTCGCAGAGCACGGGCTCGGCGGGTACAGGAACCCTACCGCTGCCGTTTGCTCAGGCTGCGGTCCCTCCTCCCAAAAAGGAATCTCGTGGTCCTCAAAGGTTCGTAGCTCTGAATCTTCTCATTTCCGGGCTGAAAAGCTGACAGACTGCCAATCTCCCTCGATATGCATCCAGAACGTCAAAAACAGCTAACAAGCTTAAAGTTCTTCCCTCGACTACCACTCCCGCTGAGCCGATAGATGGGGAGGAGGATAGCGATGTTGATGATGATCTCGCTGAACGAGCCAAACCGCGAGCGAAACCTGCAAAAGCAAATGGACAGGCTGAACCTGAGGGAGTTGAGGTGAGTAAACAATACGCAATCCCGACTTGATGGTGATCGCTCATTCTCCGCTGATGTACCCACCATGGAGCTTAGTTCTACACCGCCTTGTCGCAAATTCCTGCTGGGTCCGCCAGGAGAGATGCAATGCGTTTGACTAAAACGGAAAAATCTAAACTGCCTCGAGTGACCGCATATTGCACTGCTGCGTAAGTGCGAGAGATCCGCTTTCTGCAATCCGGAAATGCAGAGCTGATGTATGGATCTGTTACCCAGTGGCTTCAATCTTCAAGCTTTGCAAGCTTGGTTATCTGCCAGACCTTCTGCATACCGCTGCAACCCCCGTTTATTCGACACCGACTGTCTTCACACCCCGTATCTGCCTCCGGTATCCTTCCTCACGCAATCTATGCAAAAGTCACCTCCCATCAAGACGCGCCGAAAAAGCACGGGTAACGTTAACATGAACTCGAGAAATAGAGATATCCCGGAGGGGGATCTGTTGGGACTGGAACAAGATGGTACGCGCTCTGGTCGATTCAGTTGTGCTGACTTGCTTATAACGGGTTTCATTTCATATGCCTTGATAGAGGAGAACCCTATGCATTGTGGATCTCATGCAGATGGAATTGACGAGAGCGAGGCGCTTCTCACTCACAAACGCGAACATCAGATCTACGATCGTGAACAGCATGCCCGAGATGCCGAAGTTGAATCCGCGCGTGAAGCTGAAGCGATCCGCCAACGACGGGTGACGGGCTTCAAGACCCGCCCGTCTGCTTTGGCGGGCGATGCACCTCCAAAGCGAAGGCACTCAAGGGGATCGATTCATAGTGCGAACGGGAGTGATTGGGAAGGGGATGAAGATGAAGGGGATGAAGAATGGATGCCAGATCTTTTCGTATTTGAATATGGAACCGTGGTGATCTGGGGAATGACAGAGAGGGAGGAAAAGCGGGTCTTGGCCAGCTTGTAAGTCCGATGTGCTAAATTTCAATATTATCCAACATGTATGCTGATATCCTCCCTCTTCTCTTTGATAGACGAAAGTTCGAGATTGAAAAGCTAAACGTGGAAGATATTGAGATGGAAGATCTGAATTTCTACTACGCGAACTACTCTCGGTATGTCGATACATTTTACGTCCATCTTGCTAAATACTAACCCTTATGTTATTGCGCCTGCAGAATATACAACGATGTCATCACGTTGCGAAAGGGCTCCTCATTCATGTAAGTCGTTTTTCGTAGTCAGCGGTACACCTTGCTGATTTCGAAGAGAAATGGTATAGGACAAAACTTTCATTATCGCATGCGTTGTCGCAATCCGTCAAGATTTCTCTTTTCGAAGAACTGGTTGCAGGAACCATTGATCAGACGAAGGATTTACCGCGATCGCTATCAGAAACAGGAAAAATCGGGGTACGTGCCTGACGTGTTCGTTCTCATCTGTATCATGATGACTTACGATACCACCCGTAGATGCCCCGTAAGGAAATCATGAAGCAAATAGGCAGTTTGTTCATTTTGAGGATAAATTGGGGCGGTTCGATCTTGGACTCGCCAGTAAGTTGGAATAGTAAACTCCGAGTGCGCATTAGCTCACCTAACCCTGTCAATCAAACAGGAACTCTTCTGGACCTATCCTGATCTCGAGCCTTTGTACCAAGCGGCCAGGAGTTATTTGGAGATAAATCAACGAATCGACTTGTTGAATGCCCGAGTAGAGGCAAGTGACGCTTTACAAATCTTGCTTGCTCAGCTCAGTGACTTACCTGCTTGCCACTTCTATATAGGTCTTGCAAGATATGCTTACCCTGTTGAAGGAGAGTGTCAACAGTAGTCATGGCGAACACCTGGAAACAATCGTTATCGTGCTGATCGGCGTCGAAATCATTCTTGGTATTCTGACTATCCTAGTGGACGTATTCGCTGGATGAGGAATGCGCATGGATCAGTCAATCATGAATTGCTGTAATGCTGTAATGTCGTTTAAACTGTACGACATGTGGTTGTATCTGTCTGTAGCGGAGTTCTGTTGAAATGCTTTCCAGCCGCCCGGCGGTGTCCAACGAAAGGGACCAAGCATTTACTACCCAGAAACGCAATGCGTTCGGTAAACGGCGTAGGAAGATGAGACGACTTAACCAGCTACTCAACCTGGCCACTCAAGCTCAGAATTACCTCTTGAACGCCATCGCCATTTGTGTTTCAGGTTTTATTCCATTTGGGTCCGTCTTATGGATCGCGTGCGCGTCCTTGCCGTGCCGTCTCACAGCAATGCTCGGTAGTACCCGGCACAGATGCAAGAAGTGACACGACAGCGTTGCCAGCCATGGCGAGGACGTAGACCCACACGTATCAAGCGTGCCGAACAAAGTCGAAATGACACCCCATGGTCTGTGAAGGGGGCGCTGATGGTGAAGGGCCCACGCGCTGACTGCGCTCTCCGGTAAAGGAAGATCTGCTTCAGTGCGCATTTTGTTTTTGATGAGCCATCTGCTGCACCCACCTATGTATATAAGTCTCGAGGATTGTATGATGGGCATTCCCTCGGGCAGATAGAGCAGTGCAACTTGACACTAAACACCACTTACTCGCACAGTATCGAAGATGTCTACCGAATCTTAGAAGCAAGGACCTCTCATCTACAGTAGGTCCCCAGAATATCCAATGGATTGTACTGGGATGATGATCGCCTCCTGACTGTTAACTCTCCCTAGTTATCGGTGCCGGTCGAGTTATATGATTGCACCTGGTTGGGGCATTCCTTGAAAGACGGATGCCGGTCGAAGACATGCCGGGTCTCGTCACTCCCGAGCAGAGCGGTGCAGAATACGCCCACTTGGTTATCGAGGCCAAGAGAGCCGAACACGGAAGGAAGTTTTTGGGTAAACGCTTTACCGAACCTATTCCTTGATGAAAGACGTGGCTTCACTCTCCATGGCTGCGTGTACAGTTGTGGTGGGTAATCTCTTTGAACAAGTCGTACAGGCGCTGATCTTTCTTTACGCTATACATGCGAAAGTCTTCCGTTAAGGATAGGTACCCCCTCCAAACTTTGCTTGGATGCGTGCAGGTGACTGCTTCACTTGCTCCTTTCGAATTGTTGTATCGCTCACTATCAAACGTTATGTGTTTTAATTTGTGTTTGTGGATTGACTGAGGCAGAAATGAGATTTGACTTTTGTGTATGTCGCTGACGCCGTCCCACACTTCAAGCCTTCCAATACCAAACTCGAATGTTTCCCATCCCTCCAAAAAACAATCGGTATAGAGTGGTTCACACCAGCGTCCTTTCCATCGCCTTTTCACGAAGTCGGTCGCTGCGGAAAGGTAGCATCCAGGCACAAAACGGGAAAAGCAGGGAGGCTACACAAGGCCGCAACACCCAAAAAGTTTCGACGCCTGCAGGATTTGAACCTACGCGGGCAGAGCCCAACAGATATCGTTGAACCTAGAGGATTCAAGTCTGTCCCGTTAACCACTCCGGCAAAGCGCCTTCGGTGAAAGCAGAAACCTTCGTCTATATATACTATGCAAAACCCCCACAAAGCCCTGCAGCTCCGCTTTCCTCTCGATTGCTTCACATCGTAAACAAGCTAGAAACGAGGTTCCGTCTATCCATCTATCTCTGCATGTCCTAATCGTATTCAGCACGTTCGGCAACATCTATCAGCACCCCCCAGTCAGACCGCTCCCCATCCTGACATCACGTAGATCCCAAGATTCGAGATGGGCCCTGCACCGGTGGGACAAGGCAGCTCGAGGCGCGTACCGAGTGCAATCAATATGAGCACAAGGCGCAGTCGGGCTAGATCACCATCAGATCCGCCATCCGACACCTCTACGATGTCTTCTGCGGAGCTGAGTCCGCCTCCAGACACTCCCACAACACCGGCCATAGTGAAGAAGGCAGGTCAAACGACAGCAGACTTGGGGCCATCTGCAGGAGCTCAGGGCATAGCCGGGAGAAGACTACAAGCTGTCCTGGCAGGGGCACAAGATGTACGGAATCGCGGTAACAATGGCGAGGGAGACGGAGGTAATGAAGATTTGAAAGGCGGAGACGCGGAGCGTATTGCGACAGGAGTGCAAGAAAATCAAGATGAGAATCCAGAAATGGAAACTACCGTCGAGCGTCCTTCTCCGTCGCTATCACCAGTTACACCGAGAGCTGGGACATCCGCCGGAAATAGAGGTAAAACACAGGGACGGTCAAAGGCAAACATTAACAGAGTACCTCATTCAGTCGACGCGGAATCTTTACAGGAAGACAGCGATAGTAGCGAAGACAAGACTGACGAAACGCCGCTATTTGACGACGCTCTTCCCGCAACCGCCAAGTCCAACGCACAAGCTCATATCAAAATCACAATCAACCCGAAGCAACCGCTTTTCATCGATCTCCCAGAAAGCAAAGAAGAAGAGAATACAAACGACTCCGCGCAAGATATCAATACGTACACCTATCCTCCGTCATGTATCCCGCTCAAGCACCTTTCTGAAGCTATGCAACAAATCAAGTTGGCTCGTTTTTTGACGTGTAGGACCGAAGGATGTCACTGTCAAGGACTCAAACCACCAGGATGGCGTCGAGGTGACGGCAAGAATGAGAGTGTCCCATCCATCATTGAAAGCACTAGAATCGTGCTCTGGGTAGACCCATCCTTGGGTAACAAATCAGATCCACCAAATACCGGCGTTGAAGTTGAAGGACTCGAAGTTCTTGATCCTTCCGCGAGAGCCTTAACGCAGGAGAGATTATGGGAAAGTTGCGGCGAATGCGGCTGTGGATGGCGGGCTGGAGGGTCTCACGTGGGAGACGGAGAAGCAATAGGAGGTCATACTTTGACCTTGACATCGGATGATATCGACATGACGGAATTCATACAGTCGCCGAGTCAGGTCGATAAAGATGAGCTGCAACGGAGACGAAGAGTGGCACATCGAGCGGAAGAGATGTTTGAGGTGAGTGACCAGAAGGCGGCTCTTTTTATCAGCATGTTGATGTCTTGCTCTGCCTTAGGACCACGGAAAGTTAATGGATTTTGGATATACGAATGACGAGATAGAGGGAATTCTCAAGTGGGTCCAACACGCGCAACAAGCTTACAATCCCGGAACATGCCTAGTTGACATGGGCCATACGTGTTTTCTGCATGCAGGCAACTAGGACCCTTTCAAGCAGCACACGCCTCCAAAACTGTACCGAGCAAGAGTTCTCAAAAGGGCCTTCCACAAACCGGGAAAAGTCTAAAGAGATCTCGTGAAAGCAGGGAAAGATCGGAAAGCGCACCAAATTCGGGTGGGACTGAATCATTCCCGAAAGATCACATTGACGGAAACACCGTCAACAAGGCGGATGGCAATGCTGACGAAGAAGATAACGAAGACGACGAAGATGATGAAGATGATGAAGATGACGAAGATGAGACAGTCAACAAAAGGTCGCGAATCAGCAAGACTGGCAAACGTGGACCCGCCGGACGGGTGCCTCAAAAAACAAAAGCGGATTCTGCAGGGATAGCAGCAGGTGGACATGGTGCCGGCAAACAGGCGGCTTCGAAATCCCGCGAGCCTGTATCAATCGTTCGGAAAATCGATGGGGATACCGTTGTAGATGAAGAGGGGAACGTTCTTGACAAAAGGGAAACGGACACCGACGAGATTGATGGTGATGAAACAGTGGATATAAGTGTGGAGGTCGATACGGGAACGGAAACACCTATCACTGCGACGTTCCAGAGCGAGACCGATACTAGCTTGAAGCAGCAAGAGGAAGCAACATTAGTCGACAACCTGACTCAGGGAGTGACGATAGATGTGGATGATACAGACAAACCTATAGGGGGGTTGGGGGGCGACAATTTAGATAACATAGAAGACTGGGAAGACATCGAATTCGCAAGTCATTTTCACCCATGATTCTAAGTCGGAAATCGAGCTAACAGCTAGGCATTCATCCTCGCAGGAGCAACTACCGCGGAAACCAGCAGCAATAGAGTACGAGAAGGGATATATTAGGCTTCCTGTAGTCTCGTCTTCAGAACCCTCCGCCGTGAGCTCAATTGTGCTTATTGGCCTCAAAAACCTGTTCCAAAGGCAATTGCCTAAGATGCCAAGAGAGTATATCACTCGGTTGGTTTTGGACAACAAGCACTACTCGATGGCGATTGTAAAGCGTGGGTGGCGTGTCGTTGGTGGGATCTGCTATCGCCCGTTTGAAAGCCGAAACTTTGCCGAGATCGTTTTCTGTGCAGTTGAGAGCACAGAGCAAATCAGAGTAAGTCTATATCTCTTTCAGACTATGTTTGCGGCTAATTTGGACTGCGTTCTGGTAGGGTTATGGCTCTTTTCTAATGAATCATGTTAAAGACTATGTGCGGCAGGCACATCCGACGATCACACATTTTCTGACGTATGCGGATAACTACGCTATAGGTTATTTCAAGAAGCAAGTACGTACGATGCCTCGCAGTTTTTATCCTATTCTTTTGTCTAAGACCGACAGTCGGGTGCACAGGGATTTAGCAAGGAAATTACATTTCCTAGAGAGAGATGGGTAGGCTATATCAAGGACTATGACTCGGCCAACTTGATGATGGTATGTTCCCCCTTGCAGTCTACCTTGCTATACCTTTTTGGACTGAAACGGACCTTTTCTCCCCCTTAGTGTAAAATGGTACCACGAGTGAAATACGCAGATGTCCATCAAATGCTGGCTGATCAAAAAGCTGTGAGCTGAATTCGAGATATCCATACAACTCCTGCAAGGCTCGAACCTTTTCTTTCTTCTAGGCTGTTCTAGCCAAGATCCAGACGATCTCGCAGTCACACGTCGTTCGGCCTGGCCTTGCAATATTCAAAAATCGGACGACCGGCGAGAAAATCGAGTTGGCGAAGGAGGACATACCAGGTCTCGGTGCGTGTCGAGCTGATTGTTGCGGAAGTTGGGTCGAACAACTGATTGACCTGTCCCCTTACTCATAAAGTTGAAAGTGGTTGGGATGCACGAATGGACGAGCTGTATGGGTTTTCATGCTGTCTTCGACAAATCTCTGCTAAATCTTTGTTTTATATAGCCTGAGAACATCGATCCGACCGCCACAATACGTCTTATTCCAACAAATTCTCAATGATTTGGTGGACGATGCAAACGCTTGGCCCTTCACGAAGCCCGTCGACAGGACTGTAGTCAAAGATTATTATGACGTTATCTCGGCGCCCATGGGTGAGTTCAGACCTCTGCATCATCACCGGACGCGACCTGATTAACGCACGACCGGATAGATTTCCAAACCATGGAGCTCAAACTTGAATCAAATCACTACAAAGATCTAGAAGAGTTTACAAGAGACGTCAAACTTATCGTCGCAAATTGCAAACAGTATAATGGCCACTCTAACGATAATTCTTATACGAAAGCTGCTAATGCGTTGGAAAAAGCTTTCAACAAGATTCTTATCAAACGGACCGCGCAGGCTACCGGAAATTCTATAGACAAGCAGGATAAGAAAGACAAGAAAGACAGAAAATGAAAGGGTTTACACTGCTCTACAATCCGATACGTTGTAACTGATGAATGTCACAATGAATCGTGTGAAGCATCCACCAGGGAGACTGAAGGGAAAGCAACTGCCAGTGATCTACATATATACAGCCATCAACAGGGCGAACAGTAGACCAGAGGACCTTTGATGGGTGGCGGGAGGTCTTGGCATTGAGATTGGAATGACGTATTATCCAACAGTAACAGAGTTGAATTCAAACGGCGGATGACAAGGATACCCGACGCTCCTTAGCGTTAGGGTGAGATGCACACCAATGATGTACGCTATTGATGATGAGTCGAGGCGAAGGACTGGTCGCGTCAAAATCTTCATTATACTTGTCCACTTTACAACTTATACTCATTCCAAGACCGCTCAAATTTCCATACAATTCAGTTCTGTAGGTTAAAACGCGGCCATCCAAGCTTCTGGCATGCAAGCCAACAACTGAGTATTGGTCGCCTGTGCGATAAGAGTCGTAACAACAGCAGTGATCGGAGTTAAATCGTTCTACAGATATACTCGCATCAGTAATTGAGCAAAACCACAAAGGTGTTTATGCAAGCATACCTTTTCCAGATTTTCGCCTGTAAAGCCAAGTTCGGCCGTTCGACGGACCCAGCCCTCAACATTGGCATAGACTGAAATTGGGTGATCGCTTTGACGATTATACATGGTAAACCACAGTGATACCTAAGGAAGTGGTATGCTTAGTGTTATTTCATGCTCGTCTGCACTCGAAGAACTCACCTCGTCTCGTAAAAACAGAGTTAGGCAGCTTTCGAGATCAAATTCAGGCATCGATAGGCTTCTTGCCATGGCGATGACACTCGAGGTCAAGAGGCCTTCTATGCCTGTGGGAGTGATGAAATGTTGCATGTTGGGGGTCAACCTGAAAGGCACCTTTTCGTTGCATCGGTGTATGGGAGCCGCGGCATCGAATGCTAAA